GGTGGAGAAACGTGCCGTTGGCATACGGAACCGCGAGGATCTGACGCGTGAAGGGGGCGGCAGATCGGGCTGGGGGTGTGATGCGCCGGGCCTACCAGCCTCCTGTGCGAGGGCAAAGGGCCGGGCGCTGCAGGGCACCTTCTCTGAGCGATGGGCACCTGCCACACGAACGCAGCTGCAGGCTGCCAGAACCCGGCCGGTAGTTAAGCGTCAGGCCGGCTGGGGCACTCCACAAAGGCCGTGCTGCCAACGGGTATCCATCACCACCCCATCAGCGTTACGTGAAATCAGTCAGCAGATGTGGCTGGCGGGGGCCCGCTTGAGCCCAGCTTCACGTCAGTTGAGACCGGCAAAGCACATCCCCTTCCGTCGGTAAAACGAGGGCCCCGTGAAGCGACCTTTCCTGAAACTGGCTCTCACCCACAGCACAGGCTGCCCGAGCGCAGCAGATGCCTTGTGGCATCAGTAACTAGCAGTTCTACAGTTCCACACAGAAACCAAAAAATGCTACTGTATACAGCAGGTATTTCTTTAAAGAGAAGTAGCCTCTGAGCTTTCCCTCTATTTTGATACACGGTCACAATGTTTTGGAGGTCAAAGTGAGGAGCGATGCCAGAAGTATTGAAGCATATATTGATCCCAGGCCCACAGCTTGCTAATTCAGTTCTTTATAAATACCAACAGGAGGCAAGTGGCCTGAAATACGACCTCTTACTAGATAAAAATAAAAGTTGTATGACATGGAAAATGATACACTATTTACCTTTAGATACACGATCTTACATTTGGCCTCCTTGAAACAAATTTTTGGCCTGAGCACACCTTACCAGGCAATGCCCATTGTTCTGTAGGAGGATCCTCAGTTTTATCGCTTCTCCAGGCTCCAAGATTTACAAACTAGGCATTTAGCCTTTAAAAAAATATATAAAGTCTAAAACCTGGTTCCTGAAGCACATTAGAAATATGGTCCTTCTCCCGTTATTCCCCATATATAATTTTATGTTGAGATCAATAATGCACATTTTTATCCCACTGAATATCTGATTGTTGTTCATAAATTGAGTCATCACACAATAAAAGTAGCCACAGACTAGTCACCTGGGTTCTTCTAATCCCTGGGACACTCTGCAGATGAGCCTGGTGGTGATTTCTGGTGTAGTGTCATGTTATAAATTACCACGAGCAGGTCATGACGGTGTCAGCCTGTCCAGGCCTCAGGTATTCTGTCAAATACCAGAAAGACTCAGATCAGGCTGTACCTGGGCTCTTCCCCTTCCGGATGCTCTTTCCATTTTTACATTGTGTAGCAGTCCTAGCACAAATAATTTTCTTCAACAGTTTTCAGATCTCTCTGCTGCTATCCCTGACATTCTTGGTCAGCAATTTACAAGGCCAGCCTTCAGTGCTGCATACAACACTGTTCTATCAGTTTGGTTTTCAGATGTGTCTTCCTTATTTTCACACTGGAATCTTGGGAATAAATTTAGGGGTGCCCCTTTCTTTCTGCTGTGCACAATCTGTGGGCACTTAGAACATATCTGGGCACTGTCTTCTGGGAGAGCACTGCAAGTCCTACTCCTTTCTAGCTTTTATAAGGTTTTGGCTTCCTCGGTGGCCAGTCCTTTCCTTTCTTGAACGTGGAGGTACAGTGCTTCCCTAGGCAAGCTGTGAGTGTTTGTCAGCAAGCTGCAAGCGTGGTTTCCTTCCATGGAGAATGACCACCCCAGCCTGGACAGGGCAATGGTGTCTCCAACAAGGGCACAGCCCCATTGAACTGGGCACAGTAACACAGAGCTGGGCTGGTCCCAGTAAAAGGTTCGGCTGACCGCCCGGCAACCATCAGGCAAAGGCAAGGTGACAAGTCAGAGCCCAGGCCAGAGGCAAGTGAAGAAGTTGGGCACAGCAGGGAAGAGCTGGGCACAACCTACCTCCAGCCGAGCTCAGGCAAGGCCGGGCTGGGGCTGTGCGCTGAGGGTGCAAGCTGGGCAGGGCGCTCTCGGGCTCCGGGAGCACTCAAGCCACCAGCCAGCCTTCCTCATCTTCCAAGATTCTCCCCTGTGTCATCACAGCCCTTGCTCTCCTACGCTTTCTGTCAAGAGCGCCTGCGCGTCACGCGCATGAATCCGGCAGAAAATACAAGCAAACGCAGTGGAAAGGCAGAATGTGGCCGAGTTGTTCCCGATCAAAACCCCCGCGCCAGAACCCTCTGCGGAGCCATGTCTGAGGGGAAAGACGGGCCGTAGCCAGCCCTCTGGGTGCAGAAGGGCGAGAGGGCTAGGGGAGCCCGAGCAGGAGGGGGCAGCTGAACTCACCTCCTGTCTGTTAAGCAGGTAACACCTTTCTTGGTCATTCCTATGCTTGGGGAAAAGATCATTAGCACTGGGAAGAACAACAACAACAAAAAGAAGTGAAATGGGTCTTCTATTTAGTCAAAATACTTTTATTTTGCTGTTGTTAGCAGAAGGTTTCTTTTCCTTCCACCCTCCCCCACGCCCTGTTTGCTCCCTATTTCTGCCTTCTCATGCTTCCATTCTTTCCGTGGTGACACCTTGCCCCTCTTCAGCACTTTGCAGTTACGGCTCTCAAAGCAGGTGCAGACGTGAGTTAACCAAGCCTCACAACAACCATTAGCAGTAGGGAACCACTTCTCTCTGCAGACACAGATCATGTTAAGCTCAACTTGTTTTCACCTTTTCCTTTCATTTTCAGTGTCCAGCCTGTGTTATGCTGGGCGTGCTGAACGTATGTGCCCCTGCAGCTGTGTTTCATGCTTCTGAACCAAAGACTGAGTTTGAGCACTCAAAATCTAAAGCTGTTTATGACAACCTTTCCCTAACCTGTTGAAGGCCACGCAGTAAGCAAGCAGCGGACTCCAAAACTGGGCACAAGGCGTCACGTCCAGTTGCAACGAGACGTAACTCTGTAACTTACCTTTGGACTTCAAACCCACAGTCCGTTCCCCTCTCCTTACACATTACCTATCCTCTGCTGATCGTTTCCAGCAGGCCTCAGCCTCAGGTACTCACATGCTGCATTTTACTGCCAAGTTTTACGTGAGGGTGTCCACAGTCCTCAGCTGTATACAATGCCTTCGGGTGACTGGAATGAGCCGTAACGGAAAAAAAACCCAACCCCCCAAAACCCAGCAACCTAACAAGCAATGGGTGTGGATTTTATCGCTGAGTATTTAAAGCAAACTTTAGAGTTTACGGAAAAATCTAGTATGTGATTGTTTTAAGGAAAACACCCTCCATCCCCAAACAGGGTTCAAATGGAAAACTAGATATGAACTTGACATTAATACCTTATCAGTAGTGCACCTGCATAGGGATTCTTCATAAAAACCTGCAAATTCACAATTACACCTTGCAAACAGAAGTACTATGACTGTTTAAGCAAACAATAGTTTTCAAAACCCCATTCAGTTCATGTAAATGATATCTTTGTGTTAGCTCCATCAGAAGATAGTGGCGTGAAACACAGAGGAAACTTTTTCTTAGTTAGGTTAACACTGAAAATTCAAACAGTCAGACAAACACAATGCAAGCATTTTAACAGGAACAATATAAAGTTTCACTGGCTTAAAAAAGATCTTAATGAGAAATCTCGGTTATTTCAATGAATTGCTAGACCCTACATTTAAAATGATGCATTTACAGAACTAGTCAGATGAATCAGGCTTTGTCTATAATGCTAAATACTGGAATTCTGGTAGATTGTGCAAGTATTAAAAAATATTAACATTTTAAATGTTAATATTACAATCTTAAATAGCCTTGCAAGTGCAATATTATAAATATAAAAAAAAAATTCAGAGCTACAATTTTATATAAATTATATGAGAGAATGAAAGTGCTTTTCAAGTACTTCTGTTGATTTGCAGTTAGATTCTTTTGTGTAAGTCAGTGCTCAGATTTATTTACCAGGTTCTTTTAAAGTTTGGATGCCTGCATTTAACTGGATGGCATAAATGGTTTCATTTGCAGAAATGTGTGGGAAATATTTCTGTAATATGGAATATTCCAAAATGTGACTATTGTGGTTTTGGTTATCTATTAAAAAGAGAATAGACAGAGGTCACATCCTGATCGATGGGTGTGCCATAACCTGATAATGCCATGGGAGCCCTTGAGCCATACAGCAGTGGTTAACTCCACCTACAGCCCAAATCACGATCCAGTACACGGTTGTTCGTCAGTAGAGACAAGAGCATGTGATCATAACACAGGCCCAATACTGTCAACTTCTGAAGAACTGAAAAGATCCCACCATCTGTGTCTCGAGCCATGGAATCGAAGGGAGACTTCCCAACACTCTGTTAGTCAGCCCCTGGCCGTCGTCACTGCGGGGAACGCAGCTCGCGCACCCCCCGCGGTGCTGGCGTGCTCCCTTTCTGGCCAGCCAAGAACCCTCCTTACTGCAGTGGTACAAAAAAGACTCTATTCCCGTTTGCCAGCCAGGGGAAGGGTGAGGTAAGTGGGGAGACACTTGTTTATTAGACAAGAAAACCGAAACAAAACAGCCCTAAATGAGTCATTATATATTTAAAAGTGCACTGAAAAGATTTCCTATTGAACCCTATCTCTCCTAAGTGCCAGATTTGCACCTTAGATTAGATCCACTTTGAACACTGAAGATATGTAAGCTGATATTAGAGCATTTAGTTTGTCTTGCAGTTTGAAAAGCACATGACACGAGGCAGCATTAACATCTTCCGTTAAAGATCCGGTGAGGCCATAGCTTCGTCATGAAGATGCAGCTCAGAAACGCCACCGTTCAGGAGAAGCCCCCGCAGACTGCCACTACAAGCTTTCTCCAGCAAAGTGCTTGGTTGTTTGCCAAAGACAGAAGTCAAACTGTTGCCCTACCTCACCACAGTGCTGCACTGGCAATTTATCATTTTCTTTCCAGATGGACTTTAATAAATTACAGCTCTCCAGAGTTAGGCAATTCTTTGCAATAAAAGCAGAGGTTCATGTTCCATCAAGAGTGGAGACTGTTCAGACTGCTCTCTTCATGCAGACCTGACAACGGCTGATGATATTTTCCAGTTCTCCTGCTTTCAGAGTCTGTGGCAGAGGTTTCCTAAAAGAAAAAACCCAAACATTTCCTTTTTTCATTAAACAACAACGGGGAGAGACAATGAAATTTGGAGATGGAATTACTGACAACACCACTGAAATCCTTGGCTCTCTGTGCTACAGAATGACCCTAAACCTAACGAAGGAGGATGTCTAAACTGAGGGGAATTACTAGGGGAGCCCCCCCGCCCTGTCATGCAGGCTCTTCCTGTCTCCTCGGGCACTTGCAGCAAGGACGCGATGCCTATGGATGCAGGGAAGTACACTTTACCTGAACATTCTTCTTGGATTTAACGATGCCAACCAGAAGCTGTAGGAATTGGTGTAGTAGTTGCACGTCCCCCTGCCATGGCACTCTATGAATGGGATGGCTCGAAATTCTTCCAGGCAAGATCCAGGAGATGCCAATGCTTGGCCAGAAGCTTCTGAGCCGGCACTTGTGTACTGTAACCACCGACACGTTTTGTATGAGAACCTGTTCATCAGCTTTTAGCAAACGGCAGGCAAAACCCCAAATCTCCTTCTAAAACCTACCATACGTTCTCTGGTATACCCTGGGCTCAGCGAAGTGAACACAGCTTAGTTTTATCAAACTTCCAGTGAAGCACACAAGTCCTACAAGAGGTATGGCATTTCTCAAGTCCCTGCAAAGGCCTTTTTCTGCTCCATAAAAAGGCATGAAACTGCAACCAGTACAAAGACTGGAAAGTGGCTTCTGTCCAGTTGAGGCCTACAGTAACTGAAGTACAGATAACCAAATCCCCTATTGTGTGTGTGTTCATATTTTTTGCTGCATTGATTGCTTCTCCAAACACAAAAAGCAAAGAAGGCACTTTCCTTCTCCAATATTGGTCAATGCCTGTAGAAATAGCTCTAAAATAATTTGTGACAGTAGGAAATTGGCTAGAAGATACCACTTAAATTTGCTGATGCTGGAAACAAGCAAATGATTTTAACCTGATGCAGCAAAAATTCTCTGACTCTTTTCCAAGATTACTGTTATTGCTTAGGATCAAATCCCAGGAGAGACAAGAAGTTTCCCACTAGACCTAGAAGGACTTTGCATCATGCAAAAAAGAGGGTTTCTTAATTCTGTCTTTTACCCGAGTTTGCTGGCATTCCAATGACAGGCATGGATAACAGGGATGAAGTGCTACGTCCCCTAGTACAGATACACCCTTATTCCCATACCTGGTTCTCACCTTGCAGGCGCATTATGAACTTCCCTCACTCGTACCTGGTTAGGGCATCAAAACTGCCGAGGCAGTCTTTCGTAGAGAGTGGACTGCATTTGTTTTGATTTTAGCTTTCTGTGGGGTTCAGCCCCAAGATCTGATTTATAAAAGAACTGCCTGGCAGGAAAGTGGGCCAGTTATTTCTGTGTATTTGTGTTCAGGACTGGTTCAGCAACTCCACTCCCCAAACCTGTTTCTAGATCTCAGCATGATGCATGAAAATGAGAGCATGCAGTTATTTTTGTCACTGTATGTGGCTCTCTTGTTGTCTTTTCCTCCTGCCACCTATTTTTGAGGACAGATAGAATAGTTGTTCCTACGTTTCTGGCATTAAATAAGAGTTATTAGACTTACTGTCTACTTCCTGGCTAAGGAAGATAGAATTTAACAAATATTAAGAAACAAATGGGCTGTGAGCAGATGAAAATGTCAATGAAAGTCAGAAAATATAAATTAGCAATTCAAGTCTTCATATTCTTACCATAACAAAAGAAAAGCCCTTCCAGAGGGATATCCAGCCTTCTGGACATGCAGGAACTACAGTAGTTTGGCTGTGAACTGCTATTACCATTGCAGCGCCTTCACAGACAACACACCTGTAAGAAGAAACATGCATTCAGAGCAGATAAGAGCGAAAATATGTAAAACAGTCAAAAATTGTATTTCTAGATAGTAGCAACCTAATGGCAGGGCTTATGGTAAATGTTACAACTCACACAGGCTTTCTCTGTGTAACGAGGAGGTAAGTAAATTGAAGGTAACCCGGCTTCGCCACTGCTTTGCATCCCTGCCAGTAACACCAGACAGGAACTGGTAAAAGATGGGAATTGGTCCCAGCACACTGGAGCTTCCTAATTTTGCCCTTGCTGAAGGAAGAAGCTGAATTTTGTGTTCTTCATGTGCTCATTTCTTTATGTTGTTATGGTTTAGATCGAAGTTCTGTAGCTTTATTTGCTAAGGCTGGAAAATGTAATCTTTATTTCCTAAATGAAGAACGATGAAGCTGACTACTAGACTGAAACAACTGGGAAGAACCTGCTAGAAGACAGAGTGCAAGGCTTGCCTTGCCATCTTTCATTTTGCTACTTTGGGTCATTCATGCTTTTAGAGCTTTTCCTCTTAAGGTGCTCTTCATCCTTCTCAGCTGTTCTAAAACAACTTGGAAAGCAACACATGCACAAGGGTGTTTCGTAGCAGAGAACCTTCAGCCCCAACTTACAGTGTTCTTCACCCAACTACAATAAATGTATCTCACACCACTGACAGCAGAACTTGCTTTGTACTGTATTCCAAATAATGAACCTGTCTTTATTTCACCTGAGTCTGCCTCTGATGTACACAACAAGAGGTTTTGGAAAAAAAAATCACTGCAATCAGTAAGACTGTGTGCCATCTTCTCATGTCTGCTATGCAGATTAAGCCCTGTGGTGGGAAACTAGAATCACAGAACGGTTTGGGTT